AGATTTTTCGTACAAACTACGTACTTAGCCCGTACCTAGTTTATTGGCAAAAATAAAGACAGTCGAGTGTGCTTTTTTTACTTTCTATTGTTTTTTATTTCGTTTTCTATTGGCAAGTGATTATCTAGGAACTTGTGAATTTTTTAGTTTTTTCATCGTATCTCCCGAACTATTGAATTCAGAGAAAAATGTTATGGGGATTTTTTGTAGATTCTATCAAAAGGAATAATTTTGGTTCAATAAAATTTTCAGATATTTTCAGTTGTTTTCGAGATATTTGGAATTATCTGAGAATAAAATTTTCAACACTTTTGTTCCATCTTCCAATCAACAAAATGAAGAAATATTTCATGGTTCAGTGGAAGTCGATGAGCTACATCTATCGATAATCTTTGTTTTTCGATATATCCTCATTGTACCCTATGGGTCGTTAACATTTTTTTGTTCATATTTTTCACTTTATTTCCTGTACTATTGGGTTTACAGAAAAAATTATGAGAAATAATTTGTAGGAAATGTTCCAGTGGATAACTTTGCACTTCTGATAATTTTCGATTTTTCCATTTGTTTTCGATAAATATTGAATTGAAAGGATTTCGAATTTTGATGTTTTGATTTTCATTTGTTTTTCCATTTTCCGATTTATGCACGAAAAAATAGTTGAGTTATAATTTGTTGCGTCATCAAAGAGGCATACGGTGCATTTTTCAAATTTGGATTCAGTCTATTGGTTCTGAAGATATGTCGTTTTAAAGCGAACCGTGTTTTTCGGAAAATCTCCTTGAAAAACCCACTTGGAATTTTCCGACCCTGCTCAATTTCGATAGGCTTCGTCTCTTCCTGATAGAGGTTTTTTTCACAAAAAATGAAATCGATCGGACCACTTTTGCGATTTGTAGAGTGGTTACAAGGAACTTCCGGTGAAAAATCGAAAAAACCCGGAAAAACCACCTTAGAGTTTTCCGATTTCCTTCATATTTTAATGACATAATATTGTTTTGAGTACAATAAGATGGCAGAATTTCAAGTCGATATGTCAAAGGGTTCCGGAGATATATCGATTTATGATTAACACAGAGTACAGACAGACAGACAGACAGACCACACACAAAAACCAAAGTTGCTCAAAATTCGATGGGGATCATTTTCTCCAAAGCAACTAAACCTCTATCTCGCTTAGTTTCCGAGATAGCATTTTTGGCACGGCCGTAGTATACTCCACTATGTATAGCGTCGTATAACAAGAAATCTATCAGAACCAGAACAACGCTTCTTGACTCAACGCTACAACGTCAATGTGTCATAATGACAATCCTGCTTTCTTGTCGTATACTGGGAGATCCGAATGTGCTTCATACGGGGTGATTATAGTATTGGTAATCAAAATTGACAATGCCTTTGGATGAACAAAAAATGATGGATCATTTGGACTTTGCGTGGAGTTGTGAAGAATCTGGAAAATTCTTTGAGCGCAGTGACATTTTGTGGTAAATCATCTGATTTGTCCTGATACTACACGTATATTGAAATAGTACTTTATCTAAATTTCATATAGACGAGGAGAGAAAATCCCAAAAATCTGAAATAATGAATGTACGACCTCTCCGATTAACCTACAGACAGTATTTGAAAAACTATATGTTCTTTATGGCAGAGAAGAAGATGTCATGCCTGCTTGGCTGGTTTCCTAACCTCGGCTACGCCTAGGCTATGAAACGCCAGCCGCGGCATCGAATCTTGTTCTTTTCTGCCTAGTTGAACAAATAACTATTTTCCTCCGAACAGCATAGAAATCGGCTTTCTTATGACACTTAACAGGCACCTGAGGTGTACTGCAGGAAGAGTTTTTTTCTATGCAACGTTCCAAGTAATTTGAATAAAATTGGTAGTCAGAATTGACACTGACATTTGGTGAACACGAGATGATGGAGTTTTTGATAAATGAATACGTGAGATTGGTTTCAAAATATTCGGAGAGGAAATTGAATGAACCACATGTGAGCAAACTAGATCGACTTCCTTGATTGTATTCGTAGACTCGTTACGCTCGCCTATAAATCAGCCGTGGCAGTCAATCTACTACTATGTTTTACTAGGTAGAAAAGCATGAGAGGCTAGCAATCTGGTGGTATATTCTAATGAATAATATATCTTCATAAGTAATCGTTCAGTTCACGCGTCGTCTCTTAGTCTCTCAGCGTAGAAGGTAGAGGTATTCAATTGGTAAAATTCCTTCCTCTCACATGTCTATGGAGGAATGAGATATATCATATATAGGGTGAATCCAAGATTGCTCTTTATATTTAATGGATGTATCGACCCCTGTTTTTCGAGGCACTCTATTCATTATGTGCTTCAAAAATAATGCAGGCATCATATAGCGCTGTTTTGGAGAGTTAAGAAGCTCACAATTAGATGGGGTTCATCCACTTCGGGTCAGGCGTATCCTATAGGCGATATTCAAGTTACCAATGCGCAGTACATTGAATGTTTCAAATGTTCGTTCACATTCAAGCTTTTTATAGAATTTCATGGACTACTTAGATATTTACTATAAACCATTGCAGATAGGTAGTAGGTTTGGCAAAATATCTTTGTTTGCTCCTTTCTTTGTACAATTTTTCTTTCCTTCAAATGATGATTCAATCGAATCTGTATTGGCAAATGCGATGATCTATCTAGATGTGAATGGAAACCTTAGGAACGGTGATTGGTCATCGTGATTGCTTTGATGAAGACAATAAAGAAAGTCTCAAACTGAAAGGACGAAAACAGGTTCAGTCTATGCCTGATAAAAACATTGGGATAGAACATGCTCTTCATTTGCCAGAATTCATGAGGGATTTACAGAAAGCGAGATCACGGTATCGCGAGCCAAGATGTAACAAACTAACTTCCGCACGATATGGTGCTTGTGAGATTTTGTTGTGTTGTTCGGTAAAAATGAACTGTGTTGGAGACTTTTTTGAATCGAATCAAGCTTCTGATGGCATCAAATTAATTACTTTGCGTTGGTCGATACGATATCTTGGAAAAGAATTTATTGGAAAATTCGCAATTATTGCAACTCATAAGGGTCCTTTATTAGATACAAATGAGTGACAAAAACTGATTTCCATCCAGATTATGATGTCTATTCAGTAGTGAGTCCAAGAAGAAGGGCCAATGTTGATTCGCAAATGGGTCGATTTGAGAGACGAGACAGGAGATTGAGAATATGGGATGTCTCTTATATCCCTTTCATTTTCGTTGAATTATCACTGTATCAATTTGATCGCTGGATCTGACTCGATACCTTTGATCATTTGATATACAGAGTTATCATTCCAATACTCACTACCATGCCACCCTGCATATATCATCTGATCTGCGGTGATAACAATTTTCTAAAATGCTAGGTCGATTTAGATATCGTGGGAGAGGTAAAATTTCTGTTGGTTCTTATTGAATGCTATGTTTATCCTCTCTGCCCCTTCAGCCACCCTCACTTTATAATCTCAAATGCACCTCCTTTCTTGAGATACATTATATACAAGCAGAACTAAAACTATATTGAAGATATCAGTGTTGACTCAAAGTATCTAGTCGAAGATTTTATATTTTGCTCAACTTTCAATTTCAGAGGATTCTTGATATCTATTCTTCATCAGAAAAAATGAATATACCGAGTGATTTACTTTCGAATAATAACTTTCAATGATGCCCATCAGATGAAAATGGACTTTGACATCTTCGAACAGCTTTCCGAAAATCATTCCTTCACATTTTCAGGAATTTTCTCACATATAAATGATAATATAATATCAATTTGAGCTTTTGATGAAGATTTTGATGATTAAATGATATCAAGATTCAAAATCAACACAATATTATGCACTTGTGCTTTATATCTCGAGTCAGAAGTAATGACTAGATTTCATTGGACTTCATTTCATATGTAACGTATAAATTCAGTAATCAATGAGAGTTTGATATTCATGGATAGTTTACATATGAAAATGATCGTACGAATATCGCAAATATCGTAGTTAACCATTGAAAATTCTCTCTGTTCACTGAAGAAGAGTCATTCCAAAAAATGTAACAAAATGCTTACCCAGTAAAGCTGATAGTTGTTTTCTAGCAAATACATCCAATAAACAAGCTAAGTTGTCATCATTTTGCTAAAAACTTCAGATAGCAAGCAAATATTCGAAGAAATGCGTCAATAAAGTGATAGCGGGGATCAGGAAATCGGATGAAGAAGAACATGTTTTCAATATACAGGGTGTCCTGTAATTATGCGCAGAAGATCAAGGGGGTGGAAAAATGCATATATTTCAACATACAGTGTGTTGAACTAAAAAAAAAATCGGTAATGATAATTTTCGTCATGGGGGCTGATATATTCATAATTCAATTGGAATCATGAAATCCAGTGGCGTCCCATGGGGCAACTTACCGAATATTATTGTCAAAAAAATGTGCGCTACTGATTTCACGAATTCTGTATCTCCATAACCAATTGATCATTTGAAAATTCAACATTTTGATCTCTTGTATTGTTCTGATGATTTCCTTCATTTCCATGGAAAACAATAAATTCCAATTTATCGCATACAGCTCTCGTGTCTCCTATTGAATACCTATAAATATATATCAGTTTCTGATGATATAATGAAAAATTCATCCGATTCCGAATTCCAATGTAGGTGTCCTCAATACTTCCATTGGGATTACGCAATAACCTCAATGAGTTCAATTCTGAAATTCTGAGACTTTCTTAGTCACCAGCCAGACTAAATTATGCCATCATAAAAGCTCATACAGGGTGATCATGAAAAACAACGATGCATGAATACTTCCAACTTTAGAACCCTGTATCTTGAGAACGGAGCATTTCAGGACGTATGTCTATATGAACTTCTCGTCATTGAATCACTCGAATAATCGTCCCTTGAAGTTTGACCACATACTCGATCAACACCCTGTATATCATCATCAGGATAATAATTACTCACCCAATGCAACGCTCCATACTGCATCATACGCTAATGGTGCTTCCTGATAACCTTCTGGATACCTCTGATTCTCTATATCATATCCCTCATTTCTCAGCACATCATCCAACTTCTTTCGGAAATCTTTGACAGTCATGCCTGATATGGTGCTCTCGTCCTCTTTCTGGTTCCACATGAGAGCCTCGGTGGTGATGTGCCCCTCGGCGGCGATTCGCATTTGTTCTACCGAACACCCGATATCTTCTTTCTCCATGACCACTTCAAACCAGTTGTCTTCATACCAACCTGAAAATTAAGAAAATGGTGATTTCCTTGATTTAGAAAGTGATGAATAATAATTCTAAAATGTATTTTCGAAATAACAGGATCAGAATTGTTTCATTTTATCCCAAGAGTTGAACAGTCATAAAATTGTTTCAACTTTGAGAAATGAGGATATATATTTGCAGGACTATCATTGCCGAGTGAACTTTCTTCAGAAGATAATCACTACGGAATATAAATCATCTACGAAATAATCGCAGGGTTAACTATATTTTTCTGTAATATTTCAAACAGAAGCTCGATTTCTCTCAATTATGTCTAGAATAAAACAAAAATGAAAATATAGTTCTCATGTCCGTCGTCAAGGATTCAGACATTTGTAATCATTGTCATGTTTTTATCTCTAGAATTGGTTCTAGTTTCCTAGAACCAACATAAATTGACCAATCTGATAGTATCTCCTGTATTACAGCGATCTTTATTGTTCACTCAAAATCATCGACCTTCGAGGTTTCTCAACACAGCGTTGTTTCTTCTTCAAACCAATAAATTCTCCTCTTCCTAAAATTCATTTGGAGAATGTTTTCATCATTATAAAAACGTTAAAAAATAATAAAACGCCTGGATTGGACGGGTTGAGGGCTGAAACCTTAAAAATTATCTCTGCATACATCTCCGAACCACTTGCTTATCTCATCAATCAAACCATCACAATGGGAGAATGGCCCAAAATTCTCAAAGAAGCCATAATAAAGCCACTATTCAAAAGCGGAGATAAGACTAAAATGGTGAACTACAGACCCGTATCAATAATTTCGAACTTAGCAAAGGTTTTTGAAAAAGTTATCAAACAGAGGTTGGAGAAATATGTGTTAGATAAAAATATTATATCGAACAGACAGTTTGGATTTCAGCCAAACAAGTCCACTGATGATGCGATTTCTCTTCTTGTTTCAAACATTTATGAGTCATTAGATAGGAGTAAGCCAACTTTGTGCGTTTTTTTAGACTTAGCCAAAGCCTTCGATACGGTAAGCCACCCACAATTATTGGAGTCCTTGGAAGACATTGGTTTAAGGGGTATTGTGCTCAATCTGATTAAAAGCTATATATCTAACAGACAACAATACGTCAAAATAGGGAACTGTATGAGTGACGCTTTCGAGGTTAAGTTTGGTGTCCCACAAGGAACCGTACTGGGACCCATATTATTCACTATTTATATAAATAATCTTCTCAAAATGGATAGCCGTGGAAAGATAATTAGTTTCGCAGACGATACAGCCATTTTATATCAAGCTGATAGCTGGAAAGAACTCAAAGACCAAGCTGAAAATGACATGAAATCTATCAAAGATTGGATGGATTATAATTTACTGACAATCAACTTCGAAAAAACTAAATATATCACATTCACATGCATAAATAGGAACTTACCAGACTATGAAACTCTGAAAATTGATGAGAATCATGTGATAAAAAGAACCGACTATATCAAATATTTAGGCATTATTATAGATAAACATTTGAGATGGGATAAGCACATAGAAAACATCAGCAGAAATCTCAGATGTTTAATCTATAAATTTAAACTTCTCAGAACAATTCTAGACACTAATAAACTCAAAATGGTTTATCATGCTTTAGTAGGTTCCCGATTAAACTATGGCATCATAGGATGGGGTGGTGCAATGAACACACACCTTGAAAAAATTAGTATTATACAAAAGAAAATATTGAAAATAATCTTAAGAAAACCTCATACCTATCCGTCAGATAATCTCTATACAGAAGCGAAGATCTTCGACATAAAGCAATTGTTTTATCGTACCATTGTGCTATATCAATTCAGAAATAAATCAAATCTACAATCTCTAAACCATGAATATAATACGAGACAACAAAGCAATTGTTACAAAACTCCATTTTCTACAAAAACAGTTGGCCAGCGCAATTTTGCTCATTTAGCGCCAAGAATGTACCAGATTCTACCCAGAGGTCTAACAGAACTTGATAATCTACGCCAATTCAAGAAAAAATTGAATGAATTTATTGCAAAGTATCCGAGAAATCAACTCATCAAAACAATAGACATGCAAAGATAAAAATTCGTGACACTTATATCTCACATTATTTACACACCTTCATCAATCAATACACCTTTTAGTTTCACACATTACTTATACACACTCTATCAATATTTTATATGTTATTTTATCTGTCTGATGTTTATCTATGCCTATTATGTTATTACTTATATTATATTATTTTTTCTACAAACGTCAAAAAATGACAAGGTTCGCGCATTGATAACAAATTGCGAAGTGACACTTTTTTTTAGTTTCCTACGTTACCATGATACCTTGCACATAACAATGCGCGAAGTAAAACAGTGCGCGAAGTACCTACTTCGCGCATTGTTATGTAAAACATATGAGATATTTTTAATCCAACTTAATGGTCCTCAATCGAGCAAACATCCACGAAATCATTCATTTCTGAATGTTCAAATATAACTTCGTATTATATCTTGGAGCACACGGAAGGAAATTCCTATTATGTTCGTGGAACATCGTGCGTACCTAGGGAGAATAGGGGGAGGCTTTTTAAGCCAGTTCAATACTATTTTTCATATCAAGCTAAGCATATTTTCACCTTAGAACTATATTTTTTGACGTTTGTAGAAAAAATGTTGTTTGCAACTCGAGCGCGAAATACTTTGGTCATCTCGACTATTTTTTTAACTCGGCAACGCCTCGTTAAAAAAATCAGATCTCGATCACCAAAGTAGCATTTCGCGCTCTAGATACAAAAATAACTATTATTCACAAATCCAGTATTTATACATTTTCACTACACTTCATCTATACATTGTTATTAAAATTAAAATTAAAATTGAAATATGATTATAGATTATAGAATAAGTATGTACAACAAACCAATGTATGTTATATAAATCTTAACAACTCACGCACAGGCAATCTGCCTTAGTGAGTTTTGCGGTTTATTGGAACTCAATTTCTGAATCCATATTGAATTTTATACAAAATTGTACTTTTTCAATAAACTATATTATTATTATTATATTATTATTATTATTATATAAATTCCAGATTATATTCGAGTCGAATCAAGGAAAGTTGATAAAATGGCTCCCTTGAATCTTGATTGTTTGCAATTCCTTCCATACACTCATATAATAATTCGAATCAGTTATCTTTATTTCAACCTGAAGATTGTGAAGTTGGTATACAGGGTGATGCGTTCAACTTGAGATAGACATAAATATCACGAAAATTATGCATTTCAGGAAAAAACAAAGCAGAGAAGAACAGTGACATAATTTGTTCAATGTTGCAGTCATTTCTAGGGACAAAGCTGAGTTGATTTTGTACGGAGAATGGTAATTGTGATATTCTCTTCTTGGAATTGTCTTCAGGGTAACTACAGGAATAAATATATGTTTTCTGGCATCTTTCGAACAAATACTGAGTAGTTTCTACTCATTAATGAAATACATTGAGGGACAGCTTCCATGCTGGTTCAGATAAATATACGTTTTTCTCTGTTTTGATCTCAAGTATGTGAATAAACAATGAGTTCCAAGGTTATTTCAGAATCAACTCAAGTTCTTTCCGCAAATTTTTTTGAGAAGATATCTGATTGTTTTATATCAAATATTGATATGCATTGAAGGATTGACAGATTCTTCCTGGAACCAAACAAATGAGAAAATCAATTTCATTAAGGTACTTCAGTGTTCTCATCTCAAGAATTGATAACAAAATATGAGTTTTTGTTTGAAGAATCATTTCCACTTCCATCAGTTGTCTTCATACCAACCAGAACCATCAAATTGTGATCAAGTTTCAATAAGTTCAGGAATCAATAGCACTCGATTTGAACTATATCGTTTCATAAACATATGTACTTGAACAGCTTATTATCGAGATGCCCTTCATCTATATATTCAAGTTTGAAGTAGATATTTGTTTCACGAAACTCCAGAATGTTTCGATATTCCTGACTGGCTCTGAGATATTATAAGGTGATCAGTACGCGCAAGTACCCTCACATGAGACTCATAGGGTTGAATCATTCTGAGTACCTCTTGTTGATAACAAAAAATGGATAGTGGATTGTTTGAAATACGTTATAACATGTCAATATATTCCTCAATTCTACTTCATTTCAATAACTGATGTTTAACCTGATTAGCCTCAGTACCTGATGTATTTTGAGTTGATACAATTTGAAAAGCTCATTTGATGTTTGCAATCGAACAAGTTCCAGTATTTGGTATGGATATTCCTTGCTTCAGGCTGTTCGAGAACGGTACATGATACGATATTGGTTTATCAAGACGAAAGTTGTCTGTCTCAGTGAACAATGAAAATATGTTGGCAGATCCAGAATTCAACTTATTGTTTTCAGAATACACACAACAGAAGCCACACTGGCTATGGCTTGTTTTCTCTTCTGTGCGCTGACGCCTCGATGTTTGGGAGTGAAAGAATGTGTTCAAAAAACATCCTTCTCCGTTTCTAATTAGTTCAGATATGCTTTGCTATGATTTTCAATACGACATTTCTCTCTTTGGGGCCACTTGCATCTCTATTTTTTCCGAACAGAGACCTATCTTATTGGGAGTGAATACAAAGTAGTTACAATCTAATCGAATTCAGATATGAGCTTTATCTGGAATTTTGTCCTACATTTCTGCTTATTGATTCCATAATGTTCCAAATGATGGAAATTCGATTACAGTTTCGCTTGTATATTTCGATAACGGTTAGTAATATTCTCGATTTGAAGACACTTTCCATTTCATCGTCCACTTAAATAGGCATTTATCATTCAATACAACCAACTTCGTATCATTCACCGTTTCCAAGATCAGATCACAAAATGCGATAATCAGAATGATTTCTGAAGAATATGATTGATATTTCATCATAATGAGTTTCTTGAAACACCTCGCAAAATACTGAAATATCAGGAATAATCAGGCTGGAATTGAG